TATATATATATACACACACACACACACTCATACGTGCACACACACACACACACACACACACACACACCTACATACACACAATGAAGTATTTCTCAGACATAAAAAAGAATGAAATATTGCCATTTGTAGCAACATGGATGGACCTAGAGAATATCCTACTAGGTGAAAGTAAGTCAGAGAAAGACAAATATCCCATGGTACCACTTACATGTGGAATCTACAAAATAATACAGATGAATCTATACACAAAACAGAAACAGACACACAGACATAGAAAATAAACTTATGGTTTACCAAAAGGGAAAGGGAGAGGGGGAAGGGATAAATTGGGAGTATGGGATTAACCGATACAGAATACTATAAATAAAACAGATAAGCAACAAAGATTTGCTGTATAACAGGGAATAGTATTCAATATCTCACAATAACCTACAATGGAAAATAACCTGAAAAAAAAAATATATAACTGAATCACTTTGCTGTACACCTGGAACTAACACAATACTGTAAACCAACTAGACTTCAATAAAAAATAAACAACTCTTTAAAATGAAGCTGAAAAACAAACAAGTTGCAAGAAAATACGATCTTTACAAGACTATTAAATATAGTTAAGATCTGTCCACCGTCACCATCAAACCAACAAATATTGATCTTTTTCCCAATCAACGATCCTGAAAGGAGAAGCGCAGAAGAAAGACATTTTACCTCTTCTAAGCTGGGGAGCGAAGAGGACGACACCGTGCGAGCCGACAGCGGGTGGAAGGGCTCTTGGCTGACAGCAGGCTGATGGCTCTGCATGTGCACAAAAGGGGTCTGCGGTGGCCTGGGCGGCAGTGGAGGTAGGCCATAGGGAAAACCCGGCCCCATCAGGCGATTCTGCTGTAAGTTGGCAAAAGTCCATGCTCCATCAGGTGCCAGGCATTTCAAGGGAGGAGGGGCGAGGTGTTCAGACGGCAACGAGAAAGGCGAATTGAACAGCTGCGGCGGCAGGCGCTGTGGAAATGCTGGGTTGCTGGCTACTTCGAGGTCTCTGCTGCTGTCACTGAAGTTGGAAAAGTGGGTGCTGTGGTCTGCACTGGACGGGGGCGAGGGGACTGCTGGTGGGCTCCTGGTCTGAATTTGTCTATATTGCAAAAGTCTTGATTGAGGTGGCGGCATCTCAGCTAGTTCCCGTGTTTCACTTTGATCACGATTAGACAGTTCTCTGATTAAGTCCTGAAACCTACATAAGGATGATGAAATATGAGGAGGAGAAAACAAAAGAAAAGCTTCATCACATTAAGGAGAGCTTAATCAACTACATGTGTAATTTTTACCAACAACAGCATACTACTTAATCAGAACTAACGTTAATTCATCTCAAGAGTAGGAAGCATTAACACTCACAGGTGTTGAACTGAAGACACTAAATATGCCCAAGTATCTGATTTCTTTCTTTTCCCTTGGTGTTAAAAACGACTGTCCTGGTCTTTACAAGCCTTTGGTAACTAACGGCTATAAAAGGTCACCATAATGGTGGATCTTATTCAGAAGGGATTAGGAAACACTTCAATGCGTTCACATGACACCATAAAAACAAGTTTAGAATGAGGACTGAACACTCAAACATCTATACTTAAAAGACGGTAGAATTTCGTGCTACTAGAAAAAAACATATTGATGATAAATTTAGAATTTTTAACTTTTAACCTCTAATTTAATCCTGTCCTCTTTGCATTCTTTGCATTATGACTGAGTATGAAAAAACCACGCACAGTGATGGTACGTTTCTTTCAGAAGGACTGCAAAGCAAGAGGCCACATTAACTTACGAGCCACAGTGGGTCGTCCATGCCTAGATTTTCAGAAGAGTTACTTCTCAAAAGATGCTCTATATTTTAGAGTCAATCGACAGAACTGTGGAGCAATGTACCTAGAAGGCCGGCATCCAATTTCTTTGGGACAATATTCCAGTCTGAGGCTAAAAGGACACCACTCAAGGACAACAGTAGGGGCTCGTGTCAGTCTGCTGGGATACCTTGAGTCAGCTGTTTCTGCTTCATCTTCGGCACTGCTGGGGAGCTTCCAGTCTGCTCTCACTGGTGGCTGATGTAATCCAATGGGCGGCTGGGGAAGATGCTGGAGGTGAGGGTGAGGGTGAGGGTGAGGGTGAGGGTGAGGATGGTGATGGTGTGGGTAAGGAACACTGCCCTGGCTGAGATAGGCGTGATGCTCACTCCACTGCTGTAACCGCACCTGCTGCTGCCGTAATGCTTCCAGAGCCACACTCCCATGCACACGATCTGTAGAAACATTGGTGCGAAGTTTATGTTTTCAGCATTTAGGGTTTCAAGTTAATTCTTTCAAGAGTTTTTACAACCAGATATTCTCCAGAAAGAAATGGCTACAATTTGAGTTTTGGAGAAAGCATATGTTTTCTAAACTTGCCAGTAACTCAAGTTATGGTGATGATGATGACTCTTCCTTACCTACATCATGACATAACCTGACATCAACTGGATGCTTAGTATTATATAGCATTTGGAACTAGATTCTGATTACCACACTAACTGATTGATTCTTTTGCTGGCGTTATTTGAAGAAATGAATCAATCCTGACTCAAAAAATATTGTACAGCAATGTCATTTGAGTAAATCATCTCTGAATTTGTCACATCCAGCAGCGATCAGAGAACTTACCTAAAGCCTCTCCTACAGGCAGTCCTGGGGGGTTCTCGTCAGTGAAGTTATTCAGATGTGAAGGAAGAATGGGGCCGGGCTGCGCAATGGCTCGCAGAGGACTGTGGCCCCCCTGCAGCATGGGAGGGGGCTGCTGCTCAGGAATTGCAGCCTCTGCAGGAGGGGACTGTGGTCGATGAGAAACCGGAGTATTAAAAAAAGCACTGTTGGGGCCTGCCTGACAGGCAGCAGAAAGCTGAGGAGGCGGCTGACCCAGCGGATTCTGCTGCGGGACTCCCTGATTCGGGTGGGGCGGCATTTGATTTGGTTGTTCAGGCAAATTATTCTGCTGTTGATTTGACAAGGCGTGCTGCTGTGGAATTGCAAACGGTGGTCTTGGCAGCTGGGGAAGTGGATGAAAATGGCGACTGGGGACTGCATACTGTGCATGGGGAGCAGGAACAGGGAGATTTATGTGTCTTGGGTTGAGATTGTCTTTGCGATGAAATTTGGGATAAACAACACCAGGACGTGATTCAGGACTTCTGTTCTGTGGATTTGATTCCAAATCCATCTAAAAAAAGAAGAAGTACTTTTTAGCTGAGGAAGATCTAAGTCCTGCGGTTCACCGCCTTTTCCCACCCCTGGCACATCTAAAAGACGTGATCCACTCTTATCCCTAATAGCAGGAGCGCTGGGGGCCCCATAAATCACTTTCTGACAATCAAATGAGGGAATATTCTTTAAATTAGGAACGATGAAACAGAAAAAAACCCACATATTACATGTGAGTCACAAGGAAAGATACTACTATTTTATTATCATATCCACTTTAATTCCTTTAAAAACATTATTTTTATTTTCACACTTTCTTCCTTGGAAAGATAACCATTTATTTCCTTCTGATATAAATCATTAAAATGTGTTCTTTCCTTCTGATTTTATTGTTTTTATACATCTCTTCCTCAAACGTATCTATATTAACATAAAAAAAATCTCAGAGTCTAAATAACTCTGAAGTGAACAACAAAAAAAGTACTGTATCACCTTTGCATTAAAAGCTTGGCTGTCAATTTTTGCCATTATTCCTTCAACAAACACTTACTGAGGGCCTACCAAGGACACTGTGCCTGGGGCTGGAGATTAAAAAACAGTCAGACTCAGTCTGTACCCCCAGGAGTGCAGAGCGGGGGTTGGCAAACTACGACCCCCAGGCCACTTCCAGTCCACCGGACTTCTGTGCATATAGTGTTACTGGAACACAGCCACAGTTGTGCAAGTTGACACACTGTCTACGGCTGCTTCCTCACTACAATGGCAGAGGTGAACGGCTGCAACAGAAACCACACAGCCCACAAAGCCTGAAAATTTAGTATCTGGCCTTTCACAGAACAAGTCTGCTAAGCTCTAAGCTCTGGCTTAGAGTCCAGTAGAGGATACCAACGTGTAAGCATAACATTAGAGGTGTTGTAAGAGGACGTGAGATGACATCCTGGAGCCTGAGAAAATTAAAGGTGACTTCATGGAGATAATGATAATCCTGCATAAGGAGCTGGAGTTTTTTATCTAGTATGAGGGAAGTACATACTAGATAAAGGTAACAGCTTATACACTGAAGCAGATTTGAGACGAGAAGTTCTGTGCACATAGAGCTACAACTGGACTTACATGCTAATCTTCCCCTTCTTGAAATCAGATGAAACTGCAGAAGCCCAATTACACAAGACCCTGAATGAGTCAATACTGAGAATAAACATGTTTTTAATCCCGTAAACTGTGGCAAGCTACCAAAGGTTTTTAAGCTAGGGAGTGCTGTCATCCTTCTGAAACACAAGTCTGATCTTAAGTGACATGAAACTGACCACTCTCAAGAAGACAGAACAAGCAGTTTGTTCCTGAATTGAAGCTGGGGTAATCCGGCAACCAAGCTATTGCCACAAATGGCTGCGATGTGCCAGTCATGCCCCAAGAGCATTCTCATGTCTAGCTCAAATGGACCAACGTTAAATCTGGCCAATAAGATCCTGAAGACTACTGGGTATGTATAAATTATCTCGGAAATGAAATGAGATGGATGGCAACTCTGCCCCAGTCTTCCCAGGCAGCTGCAATGCCTGCTCTTCAACTGTCTCAGAACCTGATTAAGGCTCTTTATCAACAAACATTTTCCCCTATAAATCTTCATCTTTTTAATGACTGAAGCGACATTTCAGCTGAGATACACCCTTCTCCAGAAGATACTGTTGACAGGCATACGCTGATCGCATGAGGGTGACCACGATTAGATGTCAAGGTTGTGTCTGTGGATAAGCTGATGTTTCAGTTGCCTTCCTCACTTCTGACTTTGAGCTGGACAAGAAGCTGGGCCAGTGTCGCAGAAATTTAGATCAAGACTGTGCTCCTCTGCGATACTACAACAGGCTAAGCAGGGGAGACGGCTGTAAAGTCTGAAGGAGTCTGACTCTAATATTATCAGAATTAGATTCTCCTCTATTGCTTTCCTCTTAATCCTGAGTCAAGGAGAGCTAGGACATTTTCCCCCTAGGGCCCAGGACGAAGCATCAGGGTGGCAAAGAAAATGAAACATGTCTATCAGGTTGCCTAGTCCCCTAACAGGGAAAGACCACAACAGAAAACTTTAAAAAAGGACGTGAGAGACGTTTGGCTATCTTGGCTTCAGCTGCTCTGACAGCACCCAAGACTCTCCCGGTTGGGTCTGTCCTAACCCTAACCCTGGCCCTCTGACTACCGGTGCTGCTGCTGTACCGCCCCACAAGCCCTCTGCTTTCTCTCTGCACCCGCTCCCAAACACACAGGACGCCTACTTTCACTGCTGCTTCCCTCTTACTCTATCAGCAAGCTCCCCTGGCTGCCTAATTGGCACTGCAGCTCCTCCAGTGGGTACTGAGCCCTTCCAGTTGTATAAACTGTGAGTCAGAGCTGCTTATGAGGCATAAGTACCTGAGTACAGAGAACAGTTGCTTAAAGCCAGCCTGAAGTTGCAGATACAGATTTGGAAGTCACCATCAGGGAGCAAGTAATGGGAATTGTGGAATTGGACTAGTTTACAGTGAGAAAGCACAGAATGCAAAGAGAGGTATGGGGCCATGACAGAACCCTGGGAAACCCCAACTTAAGGACTAGGGACAGATGGGAAGGGGTGGACAGGGACTTATAAAAGGGACAGAAGATCATGTAGAAAGAGTTGTGATTAAGTAGAAATGTGTGTCAAAGAAACCCAAAGAAACAAGATGGTCAAGAAGAAAGAGGTAGAAAATAGTGCCAAATGCCAAAGAAAAGTCAAGTAAGGTTACAACTGAAGCATGTTCATAAGATTTGGTCACTCTGAGTTTTTTTGTTTTTGTTTTTGTTTTTTTCCTTTGGCTGCACCACTTGCAGGATCTTAGTTCCCTAACCAGGGATCGAACCCAGGCCCACGGCAGGGAAAGTGCAGAGTCCTAACCACTGGACTGCCGGGGAAGTCCCTGGTCACTTTGAGCTCAACAGTTCTAGTGAAATGTTAAGGCCTAATACTAGTCTGTGTTGGTTAAGGGACAAATAAGAGATGAGGGGGAAAAGGAGAAATTAGGCAGTAGCTATATAAAGGAAATAAAGGCCAAATAAAGTGTCTTTTAAAAAAACAGTCTGTCAATCAATTTACTTACAGGCTGAGGAGGAAGGACCAGTAGCTGGAAAGGATCTGAAGATAAATGAAGAGAAGGGACAAGGTCTGTGAGGTGACCGGAAGAGGAGAGATAAGTCTTAATGGAAACTCTTCCTCTGAGATCGGTGATATAGAAGGATGTTCAAGGACACAGGAAAAGTGTGAGGACTAAAGTTCTGAGTTAAGAGCGTGAAATCCTGAAGAATGTCACTCTAAGGCAAGGTCATCCCCTGATCGTAAGAATAACAGGTAGAAGGTAAGCAGGCATCAGAAGAGCTGCTGAGAAAACTGGGCAAAGGGAGCCAGGCACATACAAAAGAAATGGGGAGGCACCTCACGGGTTCCCTGAGACCAGAAAGCATGAGTTTCCAGTGGCACTAATTCAACCAATGATTTCATTTTCCCTCACTGGTTCACGAGCACAGAAGCAGAAAAAGCAGATGAACAAACAGGTTAAGAGTTAAGGATGCACACAGCAGGTGTGACGAGAGGACAAGGTGAGGGACTTGAGGAAGTTAAGTCTTCCTTCCGCACTGTAACAGCTCTTCCCAGTATGAGATAATTTTTAGTAACACATCTATAGCTGTGTCTTCATTTATTACTTTATCATTGGAAGTCTCTGAATTCAAGTCTATTGCTAAATAACACAATTTGAAAAAAGTATTCTGATAAATAAAATAGTGTAGACAAAGAAAAGGTGGAGGGAGAGAGTGCAACATGACCCACCAGATCCTCATGAAACAACAAACATAAACGATATACATAAAAAGGTAGATAATTTTCTTTAAAATACCAGGATTCCAAGATGATCAATCAAACTAACTCCATTAGAACAACGCATTCACTAAAGGTAAACCACCTACCTGTTTTGATTCTGTAGGCTTTTTCTCTGGTGTCCGAATCTTACTAATTTCAGGTCCAGGATTATTTGTATCACTTTTACCTAAGAAAATATTTCAGAATTCTTATAAATTGTCTTCAGTAGATGTTACAAAATGCCAATGACTATCCAATATTAGACAAAGAAGTGGAATATTTTAAACATTTTTCAACAATTATTAATTATTACTGCTTGGGTTTTGTTCTTAAATCTTCAGAGTTGCAATTTCTCTGCAAGAAAGAAAACTTATAAATGAAGCAAATCTCTCTGACAAGGCAAAAGCTTAATAAGGGAATAACCTTAAAATATCAACTAACTCCAAAGATAACTGCCCATTCTCCAGGAATTTACAGCCTCATTTTCTTAAACTAGACATAGAAAAGGCCTATTTATAAAGGTTTACTACTTTGGCCATTTACGAATGCAAAAATCCAAATAACGCGTCAATGTAATTTAGTAAAGGAATCTAAACTAAATAAAGATATTCTGAAAAGAATGCAGTTATACGTTTAAAAGTAATAGATATCAAACTAAATATAAGTGGATGACAAACATTAAAGGAAGCAGTATTAAGGTTAAAAAAAAAATCACAATTATAATAGACAAATAATGCTAGTTCCCGCATGTGAAAGGCTTTTAATCTATAAGAACTAACTACTGGATATTTTAAATCCCTTGAGAGAATCCTTAATTTGGGTTCTTCCTTGAAAACATTCTTTTAAGAATGCCCCTGGAACTTTGTGCCAGAATAGCCTTACTACTAAACTTTAAGAAATGAAAACTACAATGTCTGAGATGAAAAATACACTGGATGGAATTAGCAGATGTTTAGACACTGCAGAAGAAAAACTTGGTGAACTTGAAGGCACAGCAATAGAAACAATGCACGGTGAAACACAAAAAGAAAAAAGAATTTCTTAAAAGATGAAAAGAGCATCTGTGAACTGTGGGGTAACTTTAAGAAGCATAATAAATGGGTAGTTGGAATTCCTGAAGAGAAAAGGAGGTGAGACAGAAACAATTTCTGAATAAAGGTCAAAAATTACCAAATTGATGAAAACTGTAAACCCACAGATACAAGAAGCTCAACAAACCACAAACACAAGAATCATGAAGAAAACTACACCAAGGAGTATCATTTCATCATAAACAAATTACTAAAACCAGTATAAAAATAAGTTCTTAAAAGCAATCAGAGAAAAAAAAGACATGTTATATGCAGAAAAGCAAAGATAAGGATGACATCAGATTTCTCACTAAAAATAATGTAAGCAAGAAAACAGTAGAGTAACATCATTAAAATACTGAAAGATAAAAACTATCAACCAAGACTCTATACCCTGTAAATAAAAACATTTTCAGACATACAAATGCTGAAAGAATTCACTGCCAGCAGACCTGAACTACAAGGAATGTTAAAAGAAGTCCTTCAGACAGAAGAAAAATTACTGAAACAGAAACATGAATATACAGAAAGAAATCAAGATTACCAGAAGTACTAACTACATGGATAGATATAAAAGATTATTTTTCTTATTATTTAAAACTCTTCAAAAAGATACTAGGCTCTTTAAATGAAAATAATAACAATGGTTGAGGCTTATAACATAGGAAAAGTAAAATAAATGCATGATAACAACAGATAAAGACCAGAAGAGGAAAACCTGAAATACTGTGAGGTTCCTTTTCTGTACCTGAGTGGTAAAACATAAATTGGAAAGTAAACTTTGTTAAGTTAAGGAACTCTCAGAATGGGAGAAAATATTTACAAAGGAAGCAACCAACAAAGGATTAATCTCCAAAATATACAAGCAGCTCAATATCAAAAAAAACAGACAACCCAATCCAAAAATGGGCAGAAGACCTAAGCAGACATTTCTCCAAAAAAGATACACAGATTGCTAACAAACACATGAAATGATGCTCAACATCACTAATCATTAAGAGAAATGCAAATCAAAACTACAATGAGGTATCACCTCACACTGGTCAGAATGGCCATCAGCAAAAAATCTACAACAATAAATGCTGGAGAGGGTGTGGAGAAACGGGAACCCTCATACACTGTTGATGGGAATGTAAATTGATACAGTCACTATGGAGAACAGTATGGAGGTTCCTTAAAGAACTAAAAATAGAATTACCATAGGACCCAGCAATCCCACCACTGGGCATATACCCTAAGAAAACCATAATTCAAAAAGAGTCAGGGCTTCCCTGGTGGCGCAGTGGTTGAGAGTCCGCCTGCCGGTGCAGGGGAGGCAGGTTCGTGCCCCGGTCCGGGAGGATCCCACGTGCCGCGGAGCGGCTGTGCCCCTGAGCCACGGCTGTTGAGCCTGCGCGTTCGGGGCCTGTGCTCCGCAGCGGGAGGGGCCACAGTGGTGAGAGGCAAAAAAAAAAAAAGAGTCATGTAACACAATGTTCATTGCAGCACTAATTACAATAGCCAGGACATGGAAGCAACCTAAGTGTCCAACGACAGATGAATGGATAAAGAAGGTGTGGCACATATATACAATGGAGTATTACTCAGCCATAGAAGGAAACGAAACTGAGTTATTTGTACTGAGGTGGATGGACCTAGAGTGTGTCATACACAGTGAAGTAAGTCAGAAAGAGAAAAACAAATACCGTATGCTAACACATATATATGGAATCTAAAAAAAAAAAATGAAAAAAATAAAAGGTTCTGATGAACCTAGGGGCAAGACAGGAATAAAGACGCAGGCATAGAGAATGGACTTGAGGACACGGGGACGGGGAAGGGTAAGCTGGGATGAAGTGAGAGAGTGCCATGGACATATATACACTACCAAATGTAAATCAGATAGCTACTGGGAAGCAGCCGCATAGCACAGGGAGATCAGCTCGGTGCTTTGTAACCACCTAGAGGGGTGGGATAGGGAGGGTGGGAGGGAGATGCAAGAGGGAGGGGATACGGGGATATATGTATATGTATAGCTGATTCACTTTGTCATACAGCAGAAACTAACACACCATTGTAAAGCAATTATACTCCAATAAAGATGTTTAAAAAAAAAAAGATACCCCACATCCAAAGACAAAGGAGATGCCGCAACGAGACAGTTGGAGGGGCGCAATCACAATAAAATCAAATCCCATGACCACTGGGTGGGTGACTCACAAACTGGAGAACATTTACACCACAGAAGTCCATCCACTGGAGTGAAGGTTCTGAGCCCCACATCAGGCTTCCCAAACTGGGGGTCTGGCAACGGGAGGAGGAATTCCTAGAGAATCAGGCTTTGAAGCCTAGTGGGATTTGACTGCAAGACTTCGACAGGACTAGGGGAAAGAGAGACTCCACACTTGGAGGGCACACACAAAGTAGTGTGTGCATCAGGACCCAGGGGAAGGAGCAGTGACCCCATAGGAGACTGAACCAGACCTACCTGCTAGTGTTGGAGGGTCTCCTGCAGAGGCAGGGGGTGGCTGTGGCTCCCCGTGGGGACAAGGACACTGGCATCAGAAGTTCTGTGAAGTACTCCTTGGCATGAGCCCTCCCAGAGTCCACCATCAGCCCTACCAAAGAGCCAGTAGGCTCCAGTGCTGGGTCGCCTCAGGCTAAGCAACCAACAGGGAGGGAACCCAACCCCACCCATCAGCAGACAAGTGGATTAAAGTTTTACTGAGCTCTGCCCACCAGAGCAACACCCAGCTCTACCCACCACCAGTCTCTCCCATCAGGAAGCTGGCACAAGCCTCTTAGATAGCCTCATGCACCAGAGGGCAGACAGCAGAAGCAAGAAGAACTACAATTCTGCAACCTGTGGAGGGAAAACCATATTCACAGAAATACAGACAAAATGAAAAGGCAGAGGACTATGTACCAGATGAAGGAACAAGATAAAACCCCAGAAAAACAACTAAATGAAGTGGAGACAGGCAACCTTCCAGAAAAAGAATTCAGAATAATGATAGTGAAGATGATCCAGGACCTCGGAAAAACAATGGAGGCAAAGATCGAGAAGATGCAAGAAACGTTTAATAAAGGCCTAGAAGAATTAAAGAACAAACAAACAGAGATGAACAATACAGTAACTGAAATGAAAAATACACTACAAGGAATCAATAGCAGAATAACTGAGGCAGAAGAACGGATAAGTGACCTGGAAGACAGAATGGTGGAATTCACTGCCATGCAAGAGAATAAAGAAAAAAAGAATGAAAAGAAATGAAGACAGCCAGAGACCTCTGGGACAACATTAAATACAACATTCGCATTATAGGGGTCCCAGAAGGAGAAGAGAGAGAGAAAGGACCAGAGAAAATATGTGAAGAGATTATAGTTGAAAACTTCCCTAACATGGTAAAGGAAATAGCCACCCAAGTCCAGGAAGCACAAAGAGTCTCAGACAGGATAAACCCAAGGAGAAACACAACGAGATACATAGTAATCAAATTGACAAAAATTAAAGACAAAGAAAAATTATTGAAAGCAGCAAGGGAAAAACGACAAACAACATACAAGGGAACTCCCATAAGGTTAACACCTGATTTCTCAGCAGAAATTCTACAAGCCAGAAGGGAGTGGCATGATATATTTAAAGTGATCAAAGAGAAGAACCTACAACCAAGATTACTCTACAGGGCAAGGATCTTATTCAGATTTGATGGAGAAATCAAAAGCTTTATAGACAAGCAAAAGCTAAGAGAATTCAGCACCAACAAACCAGCTCTACAATAAATGCTAAAGGAACTTCTCTAAGTGGGAAACACAAGAGAAGAAAAGGACCTACAAAAATAAACCCATAACAATTAAGAAAATGGTGATAGGAACATATATATTGATAATTACCTTAAACGTGAATGGATTAAATGCTCCAATCAAAAGACACAGGCTTGCTGAATAGATACAGGAACAAGACCCATATATATGCTGTCTACAAGAGACCCACTTCAGACCTAGGGACACATACAGACTGAAAGGGAGGGGATGGAAAAGGATATTCCATGCAAATGGAAATCAAAAGAAAGCTGGAGTAGCAATATTCATACCAGATAAAATAGACTTTAAATAAAGAATGTTATAAGAGACAAGG